ATTTGGGTTTGGGGTTTAAGGGTTCGAGGTGGAGGGTTTGAGGGGTTTAGGGATTAAAATTTGGGTTGGGGGGTTTACGGGTTTGGGGTTAGGATTTAGGGGGGTGAAGGGGTTAAGGAATAAGGCTGTAAGTTGGGGTTTGACAGTTTGGGTCCAGGGTGCTAGGGGTGTGGCATTCGATTGGGGTTCAGGATGCGAGGGTTCAGGATGGATTGTTGCCGTTTCCGGTGTAAGGCTGGTGGTTTGGAGTCTGGAGTTTCGTGCAAAATGCTGCAAGATCTGTGTTGTCACGAGACATATGCAGGTGGAGGCATCGATGTCGCTGAAATTATGCAAGGGTAGAAGGCGACTCAAACTACGACAAGGTCGGATTCCCACGGCATTCAATCCCTAAACCCTCAAACTAAAGGATTTTCGTTCACTAGTTCATATGATGGAGAAAAAAAGGCTGTTGCCAAGCACAACATATGTACCAATATTTTTCTGGCCTACGGCCCCTACTACCGAAGGATCAGAGCATCCTACTCTGAGGCCCTGCAGCCAGCCGCCCCCAGGCAACCCCCAAGCTCCAAACATGCGGACGCAAACCCAAACCCCACAGGAGACCCCCTGCATGATTTAGCTGAGCTGATGGTTTTCGGGGAAGTGGCAACTTAAAAGCACGGGAGTGGGGCTTCCTGATGCATTTATAAATAGCATCATGCCCTCCCAGCAAACCCTACTTTAATTATGAACGTTCTATAGTTGGTGGGTCTCCCAGGTGGCTGTTCAGCCTGGTACCGCATGTCATTTCCAAGATCGATCGCGTGCAGCCGCTGGGACTGTAAGGCGTGAATTCAGGACCCAGTTTTTAGCTTTGAGGAGTATACCACAGTATCTTCGTTTGTAACACCATGTTAGTCCCAAATCTTCGGGTTTAGGGTTCACGGTGTAGGATTCTGGGGCCTATCGCTATATCCTAGTGACTAGTGTCGTTCTGTAGGGACTATATGGGAATCGTTGGGCCAACTTCCAGGGTTTAGGATTCAAGGTTGTAAGGCCAGCAAAAAAAGAGTATAGAATGACCCTCGTGCGGTTTCGGCTGGGCGAAGGAGGATTTTCTGCAGGCAGCGAGACGATAGGTAGGCTTCACAAAGTCCCACCCTTCCCACAGAGCCCAATACCCCTTAAATAAGGAATATACCTTAAATTATAAGGCCTGAATACTATGATTTGAGGTACATTCCTTAATTAAGGGGTATTGTGCTCTTTGGTCTGGGCTTCGGGATTACAGGATGATGCGGAATGCGGATCGTTACATTTTCATTCAACTTGGAGGATGCAGCCTAACCTGTTGCAAACCTCGCTATATCTGCGGCCAACCATCTCCCAGACCCTGATCCGTCTTTGTCAGTGTGTTTCGGCCTATCACACTAAAACTGTTTACTAAGGCAGGCTGTTCCCAGAGAGCCCAATACCCCTTAATTAAGCAATATACCTTATAAATCCTAATAATAAGGGCCCCTATAATCTAAGGTCTATTAGCCCGCCGTGAGGCAAAACGGCCCAAACTCCACAAATCCCGAAATTCTCAAGGTCCGACCATCGGCCCTAAATGGAAAAACATAACCCTAAAATGCGCACATCCGAAACCCTGAACCCTGAAACCCTAAGCCCCTTAAACTCTAAACCCTCTTGGCACCCTAAACCCTAAAACCCTTAAAACCCCTAAACCCTAAATCCCTAAACCCTAAATCCCTAAATCCCTAAAACCCCTAAACCCTAAAACCCTAAACCCTAAACCCCTAAGACCCTAAACCCCAACACCCTGAACCCTAAAACCCTAAACCCTGAAACCCAAACATGGCAAAATTCGAAGCGCCCCAAACGACCCTGGC